TCAAGAAGGTGAGGCAAATGCACAAGTAATAGAGAACATAATACGTTCACTGAATCACAGCCGTCAAAACAAAATGCTTTAGGAAATCAAGAATGAGATTGCTTCCAGCCTGCAAGGGAGCTTGGGTGGGTGGCAAGTCAGGAAAGGGGATTGAGATTAAAATAGAAGACTTCAGTCTGGATTGTTGATGATACTCTGTATGGACTATATTTGTTTCTCTCCTTTTCCTCTCCCCATCTTTGGGCTTAATTTACCAGTAGTGCCCAGGGCTGTTCAATGTGCTTTTTCTATACTTGCTTGCATTTTTGCTTTAATATCTTCTACAGAACTAGGTCCTTTGGGTGTTTTAGGTGTTTTTTCCTGTTTTTTGAAGGATTCTTGACCTTTTTATCTTGGTGTTGATGGTTTTGAGTCTTTTCCATTCTGGTTTGATTTTTGTGCATTTTTAGCTGGCGTGTCCCGTATAGATTTCTTGACCAGAACTTTTTCTTCAGTTTCATCATCATCATCATCTTATTCGTCGTTGTCGTCATCGTCATCATCATCATCTGCAGCCAGCTTTACTTTTTTCTGTGGAACCTTGTTACCACTTGCAGGGGCAGACCGCTTTCCTGACATACTTAAGAGTTTCACTTCTTTTTCCTCTTCATCATCTGACTCTGTATCTTCCTCCACAGCTACTAAGCGCTGTCCACTAATATGCACAGGTCCTGAGCCACACTTCAACCATAAGACCACTGGTGGCGTTATTTCAAAGCCCCCAAGGGAGACCATTGACTGTACAGACATTTTCAAATTAGCCAGTGTGACTTTAATTGGGCTACCTTTATAATTAATTGCTTCTGCTTCAACAATGTGCAATTCATCCTTGGCCCCAGCTCCTAAACTGACCGTTCTTAATGATAACTGGTGCTCATTTTCGTCATTATCCACCTTAAAGTGATAATCTTTATCGGCTTTTAGTTCACAACCGAAGAGATAGTTTTGGGGCCTCAGGAGGCTCATGTCCATATCCATCGAATCCTCCATGGGGTGATGGTGCGCACTTAGGTGATAGAGAAGGAGGGCGAAGAGAACTGGGTTGCTGCTACTGAAAACAACCGCGCAGGAGGGAATCACACCAGGGCTTCTGATTTTTTTTTTTTTAAGTGATCAGAGGTGACTCTTGCTGTTAATAGCCCTATGGGTTATTAAGTGTCACTGAATTGCAAAGTTGGTTTGAACAGCAAGGTAGTGGTTCGAACTCACCAGCTGCTCCTTGGAAGCCTTATATAAGGGTTGCTATGAGTCGCAAACAACTTGATGGCACTTAACATTTTTACTGTAATTATTTTATTAACCTTTACAAGCTGTCTGATGTGGGATTATTTATCCTGTTTGTGCCTCAGTTTCTCATATGTGGTATACAGTAACCCCTGTACACCCCAAAAAACAAAAAAATAAAAACAAACACCCACTGCCATCAAATCAATTCTGACTCACAGTGACCCTGTAGAACAGAATATAACTACCCCATAGGGTTTCAGACACTATAATCCTTTTAAGTAGATGGTCTCATCTTTCTCCCTCAGAGTGACTGGTTAGCAGCTGGTTAACATACGTGCATAGTTAAGCACTCAGTAATAGTTTGCCTTTTCTTTTAATATTCACATAATTAAGGAGCTCTGATGGCATAGTGGATTATGTGTTGGGCTTGAGGTAAACAAAGCCAGCAGTTCAAGTCTATCAGGTAGACTCTGTGGGAAAACAATGAGGCTTTCTGCTTCCATTAAGTATTTACAGTCTTGGGAACCATACACAGGGTTGCTATGAATTGGAATTGAGCCATTGGCACAAAGCCAGTCAGTCATTCACATAATTACCATAAACTAAATTCTTTTTTTAAATTTTTTTTATGGAGGGACAGAGGGAAGCATGCTGTCCCAAGTCATCCTCCTGAGCTGTTCTTGTTCTAAAGACTTCTGCTTTTAGTCCTACACTCAAGCATCTCTTTATGTTCTCTTGCTGTAAACCCCATTTGTTTATAAACTCCACATACCTTGATACTCCTGCTACATTATCTTCTTCCTTAGATCCTCGTTTTTCTTAATAGGTACCTCCTAGAGTCATTTAAATTTGATTGTTTCCTTTTACAGTGCATTGTCACCTTTAAGACAAATTACCAGCAAGGTTATATAATCCTATTTCTCATTCAAATCTGGTTTTGGTTTCTAGAATATATACTACTCCAAGTGAAGTAAGTATATTGGATATGCTGAATATGTATTGAACATAATCACAGCTTTTGGGGAAAGGTACCTAGAATCAGAGCCCTAAACATTCAGACTTGAAACAGATTCTATAGTGTAGCTCAACAGTCTCCAGTTTCATAAATGATGGGTAAACATGGGGCAAGTAAGTGAGCTGTCAGCTGATCAGAATATAACTATCTGGGCAAAGGTGTATTACCTGGACTGTTCACTTTTGTTTGTTAAGACTTGGGGTATGCCTGAGGTTACTAAAGCTCAGAGATTAACAGAGATTATAAACTAAACTCCAGATTCCAAACCAAATCCAATGTATGGGAAGAATAAACTATCTACACAATTCTGGTTGCTGTTGTTAGATGCTGTTGTCTCTGATTCATAGTGACCTAATGTATACCACCATCTGGTCCTGTACCATCCTCACAACTGTTATTTTGAGCCGATTGTTGCAGCCACTGTGTCAATTCATTTTGTTGAGGATCTTCCTCATGATACCCTTTTCTAGGGCCTGCTCCTTTCTGATAACATGTCCCAAGTATGACTCTGACAGAATAGTAATTTTATAAAGGTAACTGGATTGTTGCGCTCCAGATGATTTCACAGCATGTTTGAACAGTTATCATATTTGGAATAACTGAGTTTTATTTCTGGTTGTCTGGTATGTATGCTTAATGCTATGGAAGAAAGACGAGGCTTTCTGTTCCTGTGAAGATTTACAGCCTCAGAAATCCTATACAAGGTTGCCATGAGTTGGAATTGATTCTACAGCACATGCCAACAATGCTCAATGTCAACAAAAATAGTAGTGCCAAAAGATACGGACATAAAATTCTAGGTGGTGATAAGTAAAACTTTTCTTCTCGTTTCAAGGTCTTTTTATTTTTCTTCCTCCTAGCTCTGGGTTGAGAGACCACGATGTAATTGTCAGCATAAATGGGCAACCTGTTACCACTACAACTGACGTTATTGAAGCTGTTAAGGACAATGATTCCCTTTCCATCATGATCCGTCGGGGAAGTCAAACTTTGATCCTGACAGTCACACCTGAAATAATCAATTAAGCGCCTTGCTTTTAAAGAGAGATTATCTAACAAAACCAAAGCTATATTACTGGTTTGTATTGAAGATGTGCCAAAGATGGCAGGGTATTTTAGGAGGTCTTTTAAATACAGAAAACTGAATGCTTTAAAACACACACACAAGTCAGGTTGGCGGGGGAAGCTATAGCGTCTGACTAAGCAAAGTGGAAGGATGTGATGCCAGGAAGTCTGGGTAGTCGATCAATTTTTTTATTTAAAGATAAGAAACAATGGAAAAACATGCCTAGTTCCTAATTTAACCTGGGTAAAGAGACTTCAGTGTTGGTGTTTTTTTTTTTAATTCCTCTATTGCCACAAACTCAATAGAACATATACATATAAATATAACTGCCTACCAAACATTAAGAAACATCCTGAATTCAGAGTGCAAAATAAATAAAAATTTTAATACTCCTTTACTCAAGTCAGTTTTTCAAGTTGTATTCAATATAGCCAGTGTTTGCATTTATGTAAGACAAGCATCTTTGTGAAGTTGAGTTGAAATTGACAATTGCAGATTGCCAAATAAGAGTATTACTAATGATTCTTAGGGGGTCTGGTGTGGTGCTGTGATAAGCACTGGTCTGCCAACCCCAAGGTAGGTGGTTCAGAAACCGTAAATGGGGTTGCTATGAGTTGGCACTGACTCAATGGCACAAAACAATAAAGATTCTTAAGTTATTATTCATCAATCTAACAGCAGAAACAACGTTGGTCTCCAACAGCTTTTCTGAGTGTTTGAAAAGGGCTTATTCTAGAAAATAGCGTCTACAATAAGCTTGCAGACTTTTCGCTTTTTTTTTTTTACCCACCTCTTCCGCCTGACAACATTAATGATACCATATCTCAAAACTGCCAAAGGACCCTCTGCCGCCCCCTTTTTTTTTTTTTTTACAGGAAAAGATTGTTTTTATGGGGTTTGCGAATATTCTTAGTAAGATTAAAAAAAAAAAAAAAATATATATATATATGATACTGCAAGACTTTTGGCTTAAAGTAATATCTTATTTTGGCAAAGATTTTTTAAAGTTCTGTTTTACCCAGGCTTCCTTTAGAGGTAAGATTGAAAAAAAAACAAAAAACAAAAAAAAACAGGTATCCTTGAGCCCCCTTAAATCCTATATGCAAAATTTTATGTATATGTATATACGCATATTTCTAGCTCTGTTAGCCTAGTGGGTTACACATTGGGTTGCTAACTGCAAGGCTAGTAGTTTGAATCTACCAGCCACTCTGCAGGAGAAAGATCAAGCATTCTGCTTCTGTAAAGATTTACAGCCTTAGAAACCCTATACAGGGTTGCTATGAATTTGGAACCAACTCCACAGCACATAATCACCATCACCATGCATATTTATGGGGAGAGGGTCCCGGTTTTTCATGACCTACAAAAACTGAAAAATACTGCATGAGAGTAGAGAGATTATGAATAAGGGTCTACAAGTTATTACTGTTATAAGAGAGGTTAAGGTCAGTGTGATGTGGAACTTTTAAAGATAGACCTGAATAATTTAAAATTTCTACATAATTGCTACCATTACTAATCTGGTATAGTCAAGCTGGAACTTTCAGAACAGCTGCTACAAGATGATAAGAGCTATATAAAGGGAAATTACTTTAACTGTGATTCTTGTTCTTTTATACAGATAGGAAACTAAGTGTCTTCTTTGAGCTGTTTTACCCTATTTCTAGAATTTGTAAGTTTCCCCAAATAGTGGGCTATTAGTTTGACTTTGTCTACAAAGTCGACCTTTTATTTTACAGTTAACTGTTTTCTCCAACTAGGATTGCAAAAGGATGTAGACTAAGTTTTAAAGGCCAGTTAAAATTTGGAACATTTCCTTTTATACACACCATGTGGGAAGGTGGGGCTTGGCTGTATCTCTTTCCCTATGACTGACTGCTGTTGCTTGCCTACAGTGAGAATTTTCAGTACCATGCTTATCCTGAGAAAACGCAGTTTCTTTTGGTCTCCATAAATCACTTCTTAGCTCTATGTTAGCATATTCATCATCCTTTAAGAGTTCTTTTTCCTCCTAAAGTGTATCAAGCACCTACCCTATCTTAGCTGATCATGAAGATTAGTTTTCTTTTTTTTTTTTTTAAATTGGTCTACAACATGGGCTCCATAAACTGGCAAATACCAATTTTTAAATAGGAAAGTTCTTTCAAGAATAGCTCAATGCAGACATTATGTTTGATATCGCTGGCTTTCAAAATATAATTGGGATGAATAAATTATTGCCTATGGCACACAATAATGGTGACACAAAAGGGCTTTTACTAATAGGATGGTTCATCTCAAATGCCTGGTTTTTAGCAGAACAAATTTGAGTTTCACTATACCTACCGGAAATAACCATACAAATTTTCCAGGCTGGTAAATCTTTTTCTGCAGTGTAAGTTGAGAAAGTCAGAATTTCAGTATGAATTAAAATCCATGGCTATTTCTGCTGAAGACTGTCACTGGCTCAGCTTCAGGTCTCTTCTGAATGAAGTCTCAGAGTCACAAAAAATACAAGGCTAAAGCCATTTACTTGCTCATCCTGTTGGGTCCACTTGCTCCAATGGACTATAGATGCAGCAATGTAGAGAGAAGGTATGGAAGTGCATCTGAGTTTGTAAGTTTGTCACTACCCTTTATATTGTATACACAAAGAAAAGGAGAAACTTGATTCTCACAACACAGTTTGCACGTCATTTCTAGTCCACAAGTAAAATTTGGGTTGAAAATCAAAAGTCCAAAGAAATCTTCCCAATGAAACCATTTCCCTCCAAAGAGGGAAAGTAAAAGTCTGATGTCAAGGAAGAGTTCTGAGCCTAGAGAGATGATTCAAAGACAGAGCATTCAACTTGCCTCCCTGGGCTATAATAGCAGCTTGTTTTAGTAAACAGTGCACCAGTTGCTCCCATCACTTGGCATCAGCCCTCCAGTAATGAGCAAAATAAGGTCAACGAACCACCAAATCCCAAGTCCTCCAAGTGTCAACAGCTTTCCTACTGCTGTGCCAGTGTGTCCCAGACAAAAGCGATCCACTCCAAAGCACCCCAGGAAGAATGAGTAGAGTAAAGTGGTTATGAAGTAGTGTCCGGTATACCTAAACAAAAGGAATGAAAAGGAAGATGCTTTACCATGTGAAAATGAATTTAATGTAAGTGAAAAGATGGTGAAAAACTGAAAATAAGTCCCTCTGTGGCATCTTACCCCTATATCCTCCCAGAAAAGATAATCTTTTGATGGCATGGCATTCTGATAAGAGTACTTGCTAAGACATGACTTTTGCAGAGTTGGTCTGGACAATGGATTATGAAGCACATTTGCACAATAGGATTCCTGGTAGGAGTGGCATCTGAGTTCCTCTTCTTCTCTCTTTCAGGTTCCATTCCCGAGGCTTTGTGATCTTCTAAGGAAACACTGTTTTTCTGTAGATGAACACTAAATCCCCATACAACGTTCCTGTTCTTTTGTAAAGTTAACAGCTACAGCATAAATATTCACTTTTGTCCTTACAGACTGTGATGATGCTTGATTGTAGTTGTTTTAATATTATCACTAAACACAACCATTGGCTCTCTCTCTCTCTCTTTTTTTTTTTTTTAAAGTTTTTATTGTGAATTATATGATAGTTTACATGGGAGAACATTAGCTTTACATTCATCCTATCATATATCGTTTCACTGCCATGATTACAATCCCCTCCATGCATCCTCAAACAACTAAAGGGTATACCCTGCAAGGCTGCCCTTTGGTCCCCAGCCACTCCATCTCTCCATGTCATCATCTCTGCCTCCATCTCTGGCATTACTGTTTCTCTGGGTAGGGTCCCGCACTCCGCTCTTCTCCCTTGATGGTCCCAGGGACTTCTGCGCCTGGGCTGCAAAGTCAACCACTCCCTTCCTTTTGCTACAAAACATCTACCTTTACATTTCCAACCCTTAGTCGGTCCTGATAGCAATTATTCACTACTGTACCATAAGATTCCTATCCCTATCTCCTTTCATCAGTCCTGCCCAGACAGACTGGATTCTACTCAGTGGAGATTCTACCTTCCTTCGTGCCCTCTGGGATCTATGCTTCCTCTTGAACGTTTGTAAGCCAGTCACTTCTTGCCTTTGTAGCAACCCCATTTTGGGTAGCCAATGTCCAAGTTGCTCATCCCTGGCTACCCTGTGTACCAAGGGGGTTGGAATGATCCTCACTGTAAAGATCTGTTCCCTCTTTTGGGCAGCCACTGGCTCTTACATTAGCAAATGGTATAAGTAAATTCTGTGCCTTCAATTGGAGCTTAAATAACCTAATCCTATAAAACCAAACCAAACCAGTTGTTTTGAATTGATTTTGACTCATGTCAACCTGATGTTTCAGAATAGAGCTGATGCTCCACAGGGTTTTTAATGGTTGTAACCTTTTGGAGTAGACCACCAGATCTTTCTTTAAGTTACCTCCCTCTGGATTTGAATCACTGTCTGACCAAATAGTAGCTACTGCTTAACCATCTGCACCATTCAGTAGCTTCTAATCCTTTAATTCTATGGAACTGATTTATGGGAAAAAAAAGAGCACACATTTTCATTTTTATAATGAAATCTTTATCCCTGAAAAACTAAGGCTATTTTCACAGAATTTATACCAATCATACGAATTTTAGAGGCAGATGAACGAATTTTCGAAGTCAATCATCTGATCTAATGCCTTATTTTATAGCTTAGTGGGAGAGAGACATTCAGAATTCAGGGCCTCTGGTCTCAAGTCCAGTGTTTCGTCACTGGATTCTGCACAGCAGCAATCATGTTCGCTCTAATACTTAAAACAAAACAAAAAATCCACTGCGACTGAGTTGATAGCTCAGTCCTTATCCAAGTATCCACTACTCCAAGGTAATACCTACTTTATACAAGGCTTATTCTCTCGTAGGAAGGTCCGAGGACTGGCACACTCAATTCCATCTAGGGCTCGGCATAGGACTGACGTGTGTTCCACATCACCGTAGGCCTGACCACCGAACTACCGAGAAACAGCCAAAGAAAAAAACAAAATTCATGGAAAGCAAAATAGAGCTTTACTAAATATATCTTTAATAAAAGCTGTTTCAGGTCTATAATTATTTTAACATGTCATTTTTTGGAGTAAAGCTGTGTTCAAGAGCAAGAGATTTGGGGACATATTTCAAGTGATTTTTGAGATGAATACATACTAAATTTAGACTGGGCGCTTGGAAGCTCTGTAGAATAATCAATGGACAGTGAATTACAAGGTTGGCAGTATGAGTCCACCAACTGCTCTGTGAGACAAAGATGAGGCTTTCTGCTCTCACAAAGATTTAAAGCCTTGGGAACCCTATACAGGGGTCGGAACTGACTCAATGGCAATTAACAACAATAACAAATGCAGAGTCTTTTCAATAAACTTTTTTCCCTGTCTTTTTGACTGGCTTCCTTAGTAATATAGTTTAAAAAAATCACATTTTATTAAATACCATTCAGAATAAATGGGCGCAATGCCTAATTACTGTATATTTTCAGGAAAAAGTACATTATTGAGCACTTGGGACTCAGTATTTAAAAAGTCAGTGTGTATTAGAGATTTCTTCTACATACAATATAAAATAACAAAACTAGGAACGACTTAAGGATATCATCTGATTCAGAAGTTTATTGAGGCCTATGAATGTGGTTGAGATATGTGTAGCACATCTATGGCTAATTGATTGGTTGTATGCCACCGGTCAGTTCTGACTCATAGTGATTCTGTATAGGGTTTCCAAGGCTGCAAATCTTTACTAGAGCAGAAAGCCTCATCCTTCTCCCATGGAGCAACTTGTAGATTAGAACTGCTGACCTTGTGGTTAGCAACCCAGTTTGTAATCCATTATGGTGGTACCAAAGCTTGTTAGTACATCTATAGTAGAAGTTAAAATTCTGACAAACTTAAACTTTTTTGTTTAACTGAATTCTAGAAGAGAAAGCATAGCTGTGAATTTTCTACTGGCACTATATTAACTGTTTTACTCCTATTAGAGTTGGAGCATCCTCAAAGGGAGTAGAATGGGAAATAAAGATGCTTACTTTTCCTCCCTCCCCTTGGGACTCAGGTGTTTGAGTATTGACAGTCCTCTAGGACTTCTGGGTGAGGTAAAAGGAAGCATACATGCCATGCCTTCTTTGGGTGCCTTGCCAGGATAAACCTAGTTTTTAATTAAGATGTACAAAGTAAGTGAACTCTATATAGTGTTAACTCAAGCTTTTATTATTAATACTAGTTCACGGTACTTAAAATATTCTTTCCAGATGACCACATCTTAGCTTTTTGGTACTGTCAGGGTTGTTCTTCTGTTGTCTAATTTAGTGGGGAAAAGTTTTTCCCCTCATAATTCTCTAACACCTGAGTTTTGACTTGGATTATGCAGCACAATATAACTTAATGGTGAGTTCCCGAGGACACATGAAATTCATTGGTTGGAGACCAGTTAGGAGTTCGTTCTCTTTCAGGATACTATTAAATGGGAGTGAATGGCTTCTTTCCACTGCACTGAGAACAATTACCACCAAAGTGTCTCTTGGAATACTTTCTACCAGTAGCAAAGCCACTGGGTCGATTCCGACACTTGGTAACTGCGTGTGTATCAGAGTAAAACTATTCCACAGGGTTTTCAATGGCAGAGTTTGGGAAATAAGATCACTAGGCATTTCTCGTAAAGCATCTGACGGTACTTGATCCTCCAATCTTTCAGTTAGCAACAAACTGTGTTAACTGTTTACAACACTCAGGGACTCTTGGAATGTATTTTTGTTGTTGCTGTGTACTGTCAAGACGGTCCTGACTCATAGTGATCCTGTATAGGGTTCCAAGAGCAGTTGTTGTATTTGAACTGCCAATTTTTCAGTTACTAGTCCAGTGCTTATCTTACAGTGTCATACCTGGAATGGTTTAGCCTTCTGCAGACATCTACTGATAGGCCTTACCTACTTCCTAAGGATATGATGGAACCTGCTTGTCTGGTAAAAAGAGAGGTCATTTGAAAGTCTTTGCCTCAAATGTATGTTAAGAAGATGCCCTATTCATCATTGTTTTTTGAATATGGGCATCCTTTCTTTTGCTCTTACATGAAAGTACATGCCTGAAGGATAGTCAGGGGCAACATTTTAGTTTGAAATCTGTCAATCTCATTGGTTAAAGGAACCAAAGAAAGATCAGTCTTTTTATCTGAGCAGTTTTGACAAAAAGACTACTCCAACCACTGACCCCTCGCTTTGCTGGAAATGCCAGTAACAGTCATTCTGATGAAATTCTACATAAGAGTAACTTCATATCACTTATATTTTTCTAAAACATTTAACCAGTTCTATTTACGTAGTGGTTATGAATTGGGCTGTTAATTTCACGGTCAGTAGTTTGAAACTACCAGCTGTTCTGTGGGAGAAAAAGGAGGCTATCTGCTCCTGTAAAGATGTACAGCCTTGGAAACCCTGTTCAGGGTTGCATGAGTTGGAACCGACTCCAAGGCACATAACCACAACAACAACATTGTTTACAGAGAGTCCTGGTGTGGTAATGCAGGTTAATGTGTAGGACTGCAAGGTTGGCAGTTCAAGCTTACCAGTTGCTCCTTGGAAACCTTATACAGGGTCACTATAAGTTAGAACCGACTTGATGGCACTTAATAGCAACATTCTTTACAGAGGGGTCCTGGTGTGGCTTTGTAGGATAAGCACTGAACTTCTAATTTCAAAGTTGGCAGTTCAAATCCACCAGTTGCTTCTTGGAAACCCTATGCAGGGTTGCTATAAGCCTGAATCAACTTGATACCACTTAATAACAACTTTCTCTGCAGAAGACTTTGCTACTAAAACAAAACAAAAACCCACCTTGAGACAACCATAGCCGAGTTCCTGGGAAGCGGTTGCATTTCCAACATGATCCACCGGGTCTTCACATTCTATAAATTCATCAGGTCTATAAATCACCAATAAGGTAACAATCATCATCAAATGGTCTTTGCAAATTGCTGTTTTTATGTACATAATCAAACAGCCAAGAGGCAGTTCTTCACCAAGTTTAGCTTTGGTATCAATACAACAATCCCAATAGCTTCCAAATGACCTTTTATTGGAGGGTGGGTTTTTTTTTTCTGGTCCTATTTCTGAGAGGATTCTACTTCCACTCCCATGCATGCATCAGTCCAACCTAACTACTGGTTGGCTTGAACCACTAATCTTGAGGTTAGCAGGCCAATGCTCAACCTACTGCACCACGCGGGATCCTTACAAGGTTCCAAAAACCCAAACCCACTACTATCTAGTAGATTCCCATACAAAGCAACCATATATAAGGTTTCCGAGAGTGTAACTATTTACACGAGCAGACAGCCTCATCTTTCTTCCTTGGAGAGGCTGGGGGAGGTTGAACCATTGACCTTGCAGTTAGCACCCCCAACCCCTAACCACCACCCGGACTCCTTACTACAAGTTTTGAGGGAGCAAAATTTTAGCCACTGGAATCCCTATTCTCTCTGCATTTGTTAAAGGCGTTTTCTTACTGATCTCAGGGATGTTAATAAATGGCTTGCTTTTGGAATGGTAAGGAAATTGGTTGCGTTTTGGGCAGAGGCAAATGAGGTATTCCATTTACACCTTAGTTCATACCAGCATCGAACAATCCAGGAATTCTCTTGTGGCTAAAGGAAACAGACTGAGAAGGCACAACCTGGTACCCTTCTTCCAGATGCTCTATGATGTCATTCTCCCTAGTCCTTCTCTCTCGGGGTGGCAAATGATCTGCCACCCACATACAAGGTTTTCCCCTTGTACGTGCGAGGACCGAGAAACCTGTCATATTTATATTTACCTCCTGCATGGAGAGGTAAAAGCAGCCTTTCCCCCACAATACTCACATATCCCTGGTCCCATCCCTACCCGCCTCGACGATGGGTAGCTTACAAGTAAGAGCAAAGGATGACTGGAGAGTGGGGATCGCCATATTCCCAGCTCGGGGCGCCCGCGGAGCCCTCCGGGTGAGCGGCGCCAGAGGATGTGAACTCAGGCTCGTAGGTAGTATTTTGCGAGTGGCTCCGAGAGACACAATGCAGTAGAAGTAGATTTCCCAGCAGCAAAGCGGCTTGGCCGCACAGAAGTAAGTAACTCACCGGGAAACCACCCAGCACCATCTTCCCAGGCCCAGTGGCATAGACCCCCACCTCAACCACAACCCTAGGCCAGCAACCCGGAGCAAGCCCTCCGAGGGCAGGCCTCTTCACGTAGTCCCGCTCCTCGTCGCCAAACAACCAATGGGCACGTTACTCGAGGCTCCGTCTCACCTCTGCCAGCCAACCAGAAAAGACTAAGCAGGTGGGCGGGGCTGAGTTTTGCTTCCGCTTCTCAATTGCTTTTTCTAGGCTTCACGCTCCTCCTCTCTTACTTCCTCTAATCGGTTTCTTCGACCCCAAAAGTAGACGATCGCCAGCGTAAAGTGGGCGGGGCATACAGTGAGTGGGCGGGGCAGACTAGTCGGGATATCTCTGCCAGTTTTCAAGTCCCACTATCCCACCGAGGACGGGAATTTTTCCTTACGTCAGCGTAGCGAGGTCGGGCGCGAGCTCGGACCTAGAGCCGGGTTGCGTCAGTGCCGCGCGCGTGCTCATCGCGCTCTGGGGCCCGGGTTGGGTTGTTAAATGATGGAGAAGGCGAAGGCAAAAGCGACGGAGTGTTGAGTGGAACCTGCGGAATCCGACGAGATGGGGTCGGGCGTGGGCTCGTCCTTTGGGACCCTCTGCTTCAAGTGGCTGCTGTTGTTTGGCCTGCTGGGTCCAGTCCTCGGTGGGGCGCGGTCAGGTGGGTGTCCGCCCCCCAGGGCCCTGACAGGTCCTTTGGGTTTGCTGTTTCCTACGGTTGGGGTTCTCCGAGTTCATCGTGGTGGCAGGGAGTGGAGAGGCCTGGCCTCGACTGGATCCGGGGTTGGAAGGCTAAGCTACTACAGATGGGTGTGGACGTTGCTGAGACCTGAAGCTCAGGGTCTGGCACCCCAAACCCTGTTTCTTCTCACCGTTCTCCAATCTCAGTCCTTTCTTCTTTTCATGATTGGCGGGAGCCTTTTGCTCTGTGCTTCGCTCGCATCTCGCGTGGTACGGGGTCCCTCTAACTCTCTCGGGACCGCTTTGAATCAGTCTGATCTCCGGGTCTGAGGAGAGTCAGTCCTGAAGGCTGGGTACATGTAAAATGCTTTGAGCAGTGGAGTTTAATCTTGCTTGTAGAGTTACTGTCACTTGGAAAGAGACTGGTAGATGAAACTTTTTCATAAGGTTATGAGATCTTTTTCGTTGATTTTATTAGCAGAGTCATCAATATCTTTCTACAGAGTTAAAATGTAGCGGTGGGATAAAGGAGGAGACTGATTTTTCTTGGATCATTTTGTTGTTGTAGTAAGAATATTTCTTCTTAGAAACAAAGTGCTACCTTTTTACAGCCAAACAACCTTTTATTTGGTTTTTTGCTGGGTTTGCAGTGTCTTAAAACAGCTACAAATAATCCCTGCCCTGTTTACCCCTACACAGGGTTATCCTAAGAACTCTTTTCATTTGTGCGTAATCGTTTCTGAATTGGAAAACTTTCCTTGAAAATACAATACTAGAGATTCCCGAACATAATGGGAACATATTGTCAACGCTCTTTCTGTAAACAACGTATGTACGCAATTTGGCTTTTGTATCAAAAGCCTGTATTTTATCTATCAATGGTACAGTGCAGTGGAGGATATTTAAAAAAATTAAATCTCTGAGAGTTGTCCAGATGCATTATGAAATATTTCAATACAAGATCCCTGATCTTCAGGATAGAATGAATTCCCCCCCCCCCTTATTTTGGGCTTTTTTCCTGTTTTGAATAAGTCCCAGTTTTGAAGCTCTGAGTACTGAAATTTTATTGAATGGGAAGCTACTGAATCTTTTCTAGTTAGGACTATTTTTTCTGGTTAGGACTTTACTGTGGTATTCTACATGGTTAATATTGACCAGTATATAAAGTGGAGCCTTTGTGTGGCGCTATAAATTAAGGACTGTACTGCTAACTGAAAGATCATTAATTCAAACCCACTAGCTCTGGTAGCGTAGTGTTTACGAATTGGGCTGCGAACCTTAAGGTCAGCAGTTCAAAACTACCAGCTGTTCCGCGGGAGAAAGATTAGGCTTTCTGCTCCCGTAAAGATTTACAGCCTCGGAAACCCTGTACAGGGTCGCTATGAGTTGGGACCGACTCCACGGCACATAACAACAACAAGCCGCTACTTGGAAACCCTGTTTAGGTTGGCTATGAGTCGAAACCAACTAAGATGCACTTAACAACAAGGTGAAATAGCTTATGTTTGGTAATCCTTGAGTCTTTGCGTTTATAAATGCAAATAAGACTATATTTTTAATGTTAATATATGTCAGTTACTGTATGAGGGTAAATAAAAAAGTGTTGCTACTAGGATTTCAGTTCATACCTGAATGTGTTTATTACAAACAAAACATGTTTAAACATGTCTGTGATCAGTAGGTGACTACAGACAAATTTTCTCAGTAATATACTTCATTTTGTTAGTACTCAAAAAAATGGTTCAAAATACGGTGGCTTCTGAGGGAATTAGTTGTAACGCAAATTCAAGGCAGAAAGGACAACTCCGAAGGTTATGGTGACTGTTTTTTGGGATTCCAAAGAAATAATCTTGACAGATTTTCTCAAATGGCACAGAACGATCACAAGAAGTTTTAAGAAAATTGAAAACTGTATTGGTAAGGAAAAAGGCCAGACAAGTTTGTCAAGGAATTTTTGTCCCATTATGACAGTACACCTGTTAATTCTTCAAGGGTAGCAAGGCTATGAGAAGTTTGTTGGGAAATGTTTCCTTGCTCACCCTACAGCTCTGCCCTTTGAGTTTGGTTCCCCAACTCAAAGAATATTTAAAATGAATACAGTTTGAGTTCTTTAAGGATCCCCAAAATGTTGTTTTCCTGTGGTGTAAATCCAAGAGAGCAGACTTCTTTGGGGGGAAGGGCCAGCAAAATGGAACACATCGCCTTCAGAAGTATGTTCTTCTAGATGGAGGATATGTCAAGAAACAGTAGCTTCACATTTTGATATTTTTATTTCATAAATGTGGTGCTGTAGGATAAGCACTGAACCACAAAGTTGGTTTGAACCACAAGGTTGGCAGTTCAGACTTACCATTTGTTCCTCAGAAACCCTATGCAGGGTCGCTATGAATCAGAACCTGCTCAATGGCACTTAACAACAACAACAACATGATTTTGTAGCTATGCATTTTGACTTACCCTCATATGTTGGTGGGTTCAAACTGTCGGTAGTTCGATTAGCAGTCAAATGCTTAACCACTGTGCCAACAGGACTTCTTCATGCTCATGATTACCTTATTAATGGATTAATGGAATATTCTTACGGTCTTGAACGGTGGCTTCATTTTGGTTACCAATCAAGTGCTTAACCACTGCTCCCCCAGGGCCTCTTCTTGTTCATTATTACTTATCGGTAGATAATAGTATATCCTTATGGTCTTGAACTGTGGCTTCAACAGCTTACAATCAGTGCCTCACTTAAGCATATGTATGCTTGAGACATCTAGCCAGTGTTTATTGAATTGCTGTAAACATTATAGTCCTGGTGTGGCACTGTAGGATAAGTGCTGAACTGCTAACGTCAAGGTTGGGGGTTCAAACCCCATCAGCTCTTCCCTGGAAACTTTATACAGGGTCTCTGTGAGTAGGAACCTACTTGAATACACTTTAACAACAACAGCAAATAAACATTATGCTCAATGCTTGTGGAGTGGGGAAAGGTGACCAAATGTATTAGGTGTATCTGAGGGATTTTGAACTGGATATTTATTGGTGAATATTCAAGCAAAATGGCAGGAATGCATTCTGAGCAGAATAAAGAGTTTTTACAAAAGTATGCAGAGGTGAAATAAGTTGACCTTTTAGGGAGTGATGAGACTTCTAATCAGCTCCAGCCAAACCAAAACCAGACCTATTGCCTTCAAATCCATTCTGACTCATGGTGATGGTGGTGTGTCATAGAGTCAATTTGTGCTCATAGCGACCCTGTGTTGAGTTTCCGAGACTGTAAATCTTTATGGGAGCAGACAGCCTTACCTTTTTCCTAGAGCAGCTGGTGGGTTTGATTGCTGACCTTGCAGTTAGCAGCCCAATGCCTAACCCACAGAGCCACCAGGGTTCCTTAAGCTATAGCCAGCCCATGTAAAAGGAAGGGATGGAAGATACAACTCAGGAAGGTTGGTACCAATTGGGAAGCCTTCTATTGTCTATCTGAGGAATTTATACTTTTTTCTGTGTTAGTTTTTTGGTCAGTGAAGATTTTAAAGTAGGCTTGTGACATATCCTGATTTGTGATTAAGGTAACTGGTAGTACAATTGAGGGAAGAATATATTGTTGTTGTTGTTGTTAAGTGCTGAGTTGATTCTGACCCATAGTGACCCTGTACAGGGTCTCTGAGGAGCAGCTGGTGGGTTTGAACTGCTGACCTTGTGGTTCACAGTCCAGTGCTGATCTAGGAGGAGGAAACTTGAGCATGGGAGACCAGTTACCAATAAGAGGCTTTTCTAACTCAATTTCCCTAAGAGAATGCTCTTTCAAAATCAGCTGACTATGTTTTTGTAATACAGGATGTTTAAAACTTTCTTTGAAACATTTCCCACTAATGAAAGGGGAGTTTGAGGACTCAAGTACCGCCCGTACATTAGTTACACTAGGAATTAACTAGGTTTGGGTAGGACTTTTTACTGCCATTTATCACATGTGTCAATGAGGAAATGCAGTATAAATTCCAAACAGCTGACTTAACAGTAGATTTTTTTTTTTTTCTCCTAAAACTAGTGTTACAGAAACACACTACCAGGAGGGAGAAAGAATAAAGACTGGACAAATAATTATCTTGCAAAGCACAGGTGGGGCAGAAAATGAAGCTTATTTTTTAGTAAATAACAGGAATTGCTATATTCCCTATAGCTCTCAAAGCCTGACTGATGCAGAAGCCCGGACACCACAAGCTCTACCCCTAGCAGAGTGAACAATAACTAGCACACAGGTCAGTTGTTAACTGCAATATGGCACTTCAGACCTGTGTCTCAAACCAAGGTATTTGATGTGGTACGCATGTCTGAGAAATGAAGACCTAGGAAGCAACATCTGAAACTGCAAAATATTGTCAATCATTTCAGGAACCTGCTGAGGCTACCTTTACGTGTTTCTGTGGTTGTAGTTTGTAAAACCTCCAAGGGCTGTGATCTGAGAGATGCACTGCTGTTTGTGGTATGTCTCCTTTGCAGGTTGCCTTTTTAAAATATAACTTTATAACTTTCTAGTCTTTTGTAGCCCACCCTTGGTAACATCTTTTTCTAAGACCTACAAAGGTAACTTTGTATCATTGTAAAAATTAAAAAGGGGAAATAAGGCATTAAGTCTCTCCTGATTATCTCTTTTAAGGTAGTAATTATGATGTACGTACTTAGAACTTTTCTTATAAAGGACTTGTATTCCAAAGGGAGTGAGTTTGAACATTTACTCATGGTGAATCACACTTAACAATGAACTGTGTTGCAAGAACTTGATTTTAGGTTCATATTTTGTTTTTAAGGTGTGAACAAATTATAGGAGAATGTAGTCTTTTACGTTGAAAAAGTTTGGTTTTTGAACTTTTATTGAAAACAAAACATAATGAAAATATGTATAAACAAATTGCTGGACCCCAAGATAGTTTTCAAAAAGTACTTTAAATTTTTACTTTACCAATTTGACACTATTTATATTGACTGGTGGTG